TCTTCTTCTTCTTCTTCTTCTTCTTCTTCTTCTTCTTCTTCTTCTTCTTCTTCTTCTCTTTTTAGGTTCTGGATCCCAGGTTTCAGAGTTAAGTCCCCCCCCCCTATTTTTTGTCCCTGGTCTGTATCTCGCCCTGGGCAGACATAGGTTTAGGATTTCGAGAATTAATACTCCACAATACACGTGTAGCTTTTGCTAGCTACAGGAGTGGACATGGGCGAGTGATCCGGGGAACAGACCCCTTCCTGTGGGCCTCTCCTTGCTCCAGGCCAGGACACCCTCTCTGGTTTGGGCGACGGCCACTACACTGGCCTCAGCTGCCCTTGGGCCAGCCAGGTGGATCGAGTTGTTCTCTGAGACCATATTGAAGATCACTCCTCGAAACCCCCAAGAGCGGACAAGTAGTGGGACAGGCCCCAAAACAGTGTATTGCTATTTAATATTTTGATTCATGCCTCCTCACAATGGCAGCAATTCGCACCTTTGGCACCTATGAAAAGATCCTTACCCAGAAAGGCCACATTCCCATAGTTCTCCCGCATGACTTCCCTGTACAGAGCTCTTTGTCCCGGATCCAGGAGTGCCCACTCTGCCACCGTGAAATACACGGCCACCTCCTCAAAGGAAAAGGGACCCTGGAAGAAAAAAGCAGATTCCCTCATCAGAGATCACGCCAGGCAGAGATGGCACATGGGAAGGGAGCAGTCTGGGAAGGTACAGGACGTAGGCGTGGGCAAAGGGACACCTTAGCGGCAACTGCAGGAGCAAAAGCCCCCCTGTGCAAGGAGGGGGGGACCCCGGCTTCCTACCCGCTCATGTCCTTTACCTGGACAGGAGGCGCAGCAGCAGTTTCCACACCTCTGGCAAGACGATGGCTGAACACCACCTCTCCACTGCCTGAGACAGAGATAAAGAAGGAAGAAAGATTCTTAGCCTAGAAGCCCTCGTTGGTTTGCTTGTTCGAATCCTGCTCCGTGCACCCTCCTTTCCTGGGCTTGCCACGGGCACACTCGACACAGTATGTAAGGATTTTTAGTAAATTGTGGGAGGGGCGGAAGAGACA